ATCATGGCTTTCTCCTAATTTTATTATGCTTGCAGCTGTTCCGAAGACAAAACCGCGTGCACAACACTTATGAAGCACAGTCAGAGTTCATGCAGAAGTTTGGCCACGGAAACAGCGTTTCTGAACCTGCACCTGCATCAGCAGATGCTGCCACCGAGGGTACGTTACTTTTTTTCAAAAACATTCGCGTGAAGTTGCTTATATTCTTGTATTAATCTGGTCTTTTTTCACGAGGAGACTTTCTGGTTTTTACTAACCCTTTCTTTTCAAATAGGCCGCGCTCTTAATCTGCATATTTAGTGAAATTGAATCGTTTCTTGGGCATACTTTCTATTACTTTCGATCACACTTGATATTATTTTAAGATCCCTTCTTTACCGAAAACTCAATCATCCTTGTCAAAATTTTGTAAAATTACGGTAACAAAGTCTGATGTGGGATATCAACTACATATTGTACCCAAAAATAAACAGACAAAATTACATGCAGACAGAACAGATAGACATTCAGCTTTATATAAAAGATTAGACGAACTGATACATCCATCGAGATGTCGATATCTCACATCTCACCTCCTTGTTTCAACTTGAGAAAGCTTTGCTTCTAACAATTTCATAAAAATCCTAATCCCGTCGGCTAAACCCCGAACAAAGAAGCCTTTTATTCTATGTCAGAGTCCAGGCCCTTAATAGTGTCATTTAGAAAATATCCGTAATCTTTTGAACACTTTTTAACTCCTTGATTTGTGTGTAATTCAGGGTCGGCTAACAAGGATTTCTTGAGCACTTGGACCATCGATGCTTCGCAGGATCGCTATTACTATTGGACTGTCGTGGTAAGATTATTTATACCATAAACAAGTGACAAAACTTGTAAAGTTGCTGAAATCGATGTGAATCCTATGTGAAAAGTCAGAAGAGTTAATAAACTAAGGTTAAAGATTTTGCACAGTATTTTCGATTTATCACAGAAGATGTGCTATCGGTTTTCGGCACTATTAGGTTGATGCGCTATTCTTACTCCAAAAAATGTTTGAAA